CGACGTGTTCCATGTATCTATGCTCAAGAAATACGTGCGAGATCCGTCTCATATCCTTGAGAAACCACCGATAGAGATACGTGAAGACCTACAATATGCGGTGGAACCGGTGAAGATTGTGGGTCAACAGGTAAAGAAACTAAGGAACAAGGAGATTCCTATGGTAAAGGTCCTTTGGAGGAGTGATCGAGTCGAAGAAGAAACCTGGGAGACTGAGGTCTCAATGAGGGAGCAGTACCCTTTCCTTTTCGATTAGACACGTGGATTTCGGGGACGAAATCCCAAATAAGGGGGGGTGAACTTGTAACACCGTCCCCAAATGTATTTATCTTTAAGATAATAATTTATTGAACCCTATGAAGTATTTAGTGAACTTACGAAGTTGTGAATTTGTATTGATTTTTTCGCGTGAATAGTAAAATGCACGTGGGGCCCACATCGGGAGTGGGGACCGCCCGATATTATCGGGGCCACACATTATATTGATCTTGGACTAGATAATATGTATATGGTGGTGGATACCCAAATTGAGCCATGACAATGGCATAGGGTTGACCGGTTGGTCAAACGGGGCCAAATTATCAGTATCGGCAACCTATCAGATAACAGCCCGAAAAGGGATTTCGGAGACTTCTAAATTAAAGTGAGGGATGCATATTGATTCTAAGGTCCATTAAGAATTGGGAACAAGTGTTATATTTTATTTGACCCGATAAAATAAAATATACTTAAAACAGTCCGAAAAATACAACTTTCGGGGCAAATTGCACACGTTGGGACAAATTGGGATGACCTCCCACATGGGTGGGGGCCACCCCACAAAATTGTCAACCCTTGAGGGCTGGATGAGTGCCAAATTGGCTGAACAACAATTGAGAGGATGGGGGAGACACTTTTGACATGTAGTAGGTCCCCTCCCTTCACTCATTGTCTAGATGAGACAAGAAGGAACCACCCCTACCTCCTTACCCTCATCATTTCGACCCAAATACACCAAGAAGGAGAGAAGAGCTCTGCAAACTTCATCTCCATAGCCCAAATCCGAACTCAAGCTAAAGGGAGTCCAAGAAGAAAGTTTAAGAAGGAAAAAGCTAGGAAAAGGGTGTGAAAATTAAGGTAATGACCTTATCATAACTTTTCCTTTGTTTTCCGTCTAGCATATAAGGTATATATCATATAAAAGACCTTTAGTATTGTTCTACATGATTTAAGTGTGGAATGATGGGTTGGAAAGTGATTCTAAGTCCAAAAACGGACTTAGAAGCCAAATCGACCGGTTTACCGGAAAATAACCTTTTATAGGTTATTTGTGTTGATATGGGTTTTGTGATGATAAAACCTTGTTAGGAACCTGATTTAAAGTATTTTTGAGCCTCGCCGGAGTTTCGTCGGAGTTGGTCAAAGTTCGCCGGAGTTGGTCAAAGTTCGCCGGAGTTGGTCAAAGTTCAATCGAGAAACGTAGAACGCGCTTAAGCTTAATTAAGGTGAGGATGACCGACTATGATACTTATAATCTTTGGGTTAATTTCATGGGGTTTCCTAAGTGAATATAAATGTGATGTGCATGAATTGTTGATGGTTAATAGTGCATAAATAGAACTACTATTGATTAAAATTATAGTATGCATGATACACAAATTTATGAATAAATTGTGTATGTTTAGATGTTATGAATATGTGTGTATGATGGTTGTGCCAACCATGAATATCATTTGGGATAGTATACTTTGATGCCATGAGGAGAAGTCATGAAGGTATGAAAGTGATACTTGATATTAAGGCCAATTATGCAAGAAGAAGGAATTATATTGAAATAAATAAATAACTAGCATTGAAATATTAGTTGGAAATGTTAGTTGAGAAATGGATGAATTAGATCCTAAGAATTTGAATTATAAGGAATCGGTGATTATGAGCCGGGCTCAAGACCGATGTAGATGACGGTGATTATGAGCTGGGCTCTAGACCGTAGTAGATGACGGTGATTATGAGCTGGGCTCTAGACCGTAGTAGATGACGGTGATTATGAGCTGGGCTCTAGACCGTAGTAGATGACGGTGATTATGAGCTGGGCTCTAGACCGTAGTAGATGACGGTGATTATGAGCTGGGCTCTAGACCGTAGTAGATAACGGTGATTATGAGCTGGGCTCTAGACCGTGATAAAGAAAATGATGAATTGATATTAAATGAACGGATTAACTATAATGTAATAATGCCCTAGTCGAGGGCCTCAGAGATTTAAACTTTGATTATACTTAGTATAGTCGTCATTGTACTTGTCAAATGCTTCCAAGTACTGACCTCCCCTTCACGGGGGAGGCCACCTCACAGTTTCAGGTAGAACTTGAAGGTTGCTATCACCAGCCGCTGCTTCGGGAGGTTTCTGAGGAGAAGACTTGGTTCGTGCTTCTCCCGTTCTTGTTTTGAAAAAACAATATGAATAATGCTCATGGATAATATTTTCTGAATAATTATTTTGGGGGCTTGCATGCCTAATTATGCCAAGTGTGGCTTGAACACTTGTATCAATTGTTTTCGCTGCTTTAATAAATGTTTTACATTATGTTTGTTTATGGATGTACTATGTGTGAATGGTATTCAAGACGCCTTGTATAGTATGGAGGAGTCGGACTGCGGTTGACTATTCGTACTGTACGGCGGGTTGTTGACGTGTCCGGGTAGGTCCGGGGCGTGACATGAAGCACAATGTTTGGGTTGATAAACGATGTTTCGATGAAGCACCAATGATTAGAAATATTTGGACTTGAAATTTCTTAATTTTTAAATCTGATTATTTTTCGTTTAAGAAAATGCCATAAATGTTGTCTATTAGAAAAAATGCCACTTTTCTGACATTCATTATATTAAGATGACAATTTTCATTTGAAAGTGCAGTAATTAGAATGACATCTTTTTGATCTTTTTGCCAAATTATACTTCGTATTACATTACAGCAAGATGACAATTTCAATTTGAAAGTACCAAATTATGTCATTTTTATAGCACTGAATATTATTTCTGATTTTTTTATTTTTTTATTTTAGTCTCAAATTTTATATTTGCAATTTTAATATGATAATCACGTCAAACTCACGGAAGGTTGATATAGTTGGTTGGCGGTGGTTGGGGAAGGCAACATATAGTCCGTAGATGTAGCCCGTTAGTTCATGGGAAATTAGGACCTGAACTTCATTAAAGGCAGGGGCGGCTTTGAGGGCATTGGGCCAGGCAGCTGCCTTGGGCCTCAACTACCAAAGGGGCCTCCAAAAAATTCTACTCCGGTATTAGTATTAGGTGTTATTCGCAGACCACCAATACACCAAGCGGCAACTGCAAGCAGAAATCCGTTTTATAGTTCACTTTTGACTATACGTCCTTCATCAAAGTTGTAGCTAATGAAGTCTTCTATCCAACACAACTTGCAAAATTGGATTTGAATCATCCAATAAAAATATATGAATCAAATGGTGGAAGGTCGCATTCTGAAATCTCAACAGAGATTGTCTGACTTCATCGTCTGTTTTCACCATACTTCTCTCAGATTCTCACAATGGTGTCTTCATATGATTTTTAGCCCTTGAAGTTGGCTTTCGCATTAAACTTGAATCATGTTTTTTGGATGTTCCTAAGAAAAGATATGCTTGAACGATTGACAGAACGTCATCCTGACCGTTGTTTTCAAGCTCTATTCGTCTTCTTTTGATCCCGTAGCCAATTCTAGAGCTCTTTTGTCTTCAAAACTTTGTCTTTAACACCTCACCCGATCTCCAATGCTCCTAATCAACTCTAAAATGCTTCTCAACTCGTCCCTATTGCTTCTCAAACACCGATGCCAGGCTCAAATTTCCTTATTTTGACTCCAAAAATACCAAAACTCGAACCAACGGTCGGTAAATATGACTTGAGCTTAAAATTGAGACTTATGACACCTTAAAGTTAGGAAAAACTATCAAAAGCCGATGTCAACACGCATCAACGTCCAACACAGACCGCTAATCGGCAACTGTATATATGCTTCACTGTCCACCGTCGACATGGGTCCTTGATTAGTGAATCAACTAAGACTCTTCAGCTCTTCTCACTGAGTCTCGTTCTTGAAGTCTCTTAATACTTTTACAAGTACAAGTTTGCATTGTGTTTTGAATAAGTTTGCATTTTAAAATTTATCCTTTTGAATATTACAAACATTATATCGTGGATTTTGAATATGTTTTTTTTCATAAGGCGATTTTTATTCAATTTATCTGATTTTAAAAGTGATTTGTACATAGTAAATATTTTTCGTCTGGAGCCTCCAAAATGCTCAAGCCGCCTCTGATTAAAGGCAATTTTGTCAATTCAATCTTATTTAGGGAATAATAAACTTAATGTCCTATTTATGTCATATTTGGGGAATTCTTTCTTGTGTGTAAGTTCGTCAAATTTGGATTGTTTTCAACTATTTTTTTCCAACTATTTTTATTTCTCTTGTTGACGTACTGTGATTTCACTAGTAGTAATATTTGAGGTTACGACCGTAAAAAAAAACCGACACCAACTAAACTCCAACAGTTACGACCGTAAACTCCAACACTCTTGTTGACTTAAAAGATGATCAGTAAAGATGATCACCATCATGAATCGCTAACCTAGTGAGCTTGACATAGTCATCCTCCATAGATCCAAACTAAGAAAGTGTAAGTTCTCAAACAATCCAAACTAAGAAAGTGTAAGTTCTCAAACAAACTTTGAGGTTACATTCTTAAAAAGGATGTTAAATAAGAACTTCTCTTGTTATTATTTGAGGTCATATTTGTAATGTATGACCTTGCCCCGATATCGTGAAACGTAGCGGTAGTATTTGTAAGAACTTTGATCTATATCAAATTTTGTAGCGAGGCAACACAATTGTTTATAGCATTCACGTACGAAAAATTGCAGTTTTCACATTTGGAAATGTGAAAAACGAGACCTTATTATCTACTAGTGGCTAGCAGGAAAAAACTAATTAATGGAGTACAAAAATTGACACACATCTCTTATAAAAGATCCAAAGTGAATGAAACTAGGTGCATATCATTATTGTTCTTCCTTTATTATTGTTACTACTAATACATTGATTATTAGCAAGCTAAGGTAGGAGTAATTAAAAAGGAAAAGGATTATATTCCAGCAAATGAAAACAATACACTGGCTAAGCGCGCTACAGATAGGAAGATTGTTTTGTCGATGATGATGACCTTCATTAACTTAACACCTTAAAGAAGGTCCGAGCCTAGCGGCTGGGATGACCGGATCGCTTCTCTTCTTCCTCCCCAGCCATTCCAAAGGCATGTTTGACCGCATCAGTTGCCCCTTGCGCCACATTCTTCACTTGCTCCCCCGTCTTCTGCATCACCCCGCCCGTCTTCTGCTTCCCGGCCTCCGCCGTCTCTTTTGCCGACTCCGTCATCTCCCCCGCCTTCTCCCTCGTTGCCTGCGCCGCCCTCTCCGCCTTCTCTTTCGCGGTCTCCGCCATCCCCGAACTCTTGTCTTTGGCTGTCCCCGCCGTCTCCTTGGTGGATTGCGCCATGCCCGAAGCCTTCTCCTTCACCCCTTCCGTTGCTTGTCCCGCCTTCTCCTGCGTCACTCGTCCAATACCAATTGGAATATTACAATTTAAACAATTTGAGTATATAAAAATCACAGAATTAATAATTTGAATTAAGTTTGATAATTCCAAAATAAAACTACCATACTTTTATCTTAGGAATAAAAACATAATAGTCCTATTTTAAAATATAAAAACGTTTTTAGTTCTATTTAGGATAATTTCCATAACGTATCACTCTTTCCATCCATAATTATCATTGAATCTCTTTATTATAGTCATACTTATATGATCAATCCAATAATATAAATATAGTACCTCAGTACGGCCCTTGGTCTCACCAGCTCTGTAGGTATGTTCTTGGGAAGACATTTCAGCTGACCTGCAAAATATTTACGAACTAGAAACTGCTAGCTAACAAGATAGGTTTATTTCTTGAGTTCTTGAAATTTATGTATATCTACGGCACGCATATTATTTTATAGAGAGGTGCGCTTGTTTTCGCGTTACCACGTATCTGAATATGTAACACGTGTCATGTCCACGTGCTACCATCTGGCCAGTTCTTCATCAGATCAATTGCGTCATCACTCTTATCATCATAATCTTTTTTTCATCCGGTCCACAAGGTTGAATGCCAAACCTCAACCCCCTATCCAAAGCGGCGGTAGGCCTTATACACGTGCGCTCCAGAGGCACAACTCTATTTCAGGTTCTGTAACCTCCACACGGTCGATGCGGATTTCGAACCTTGGTCACTTGGTTAAATTTTCCCACCACTCGACCAACTGAGCTATCCGTCCCGGTATTTTCATCCTATCTTTAAATTAGGTGAATGCTACGGTTCTCCTAAAAGATGATATCTAACTAAGTAGTTAGATTGTTTTGACTGTAACTAATTAGTTTGTTGTGATTGTCTTGATTAAATTAGATTAATTTTAGATATATTAAATTAGTTTGATTCCATATATTTTGCTTTATTTTATGAAATAATTTCATATATTTTACTCTTTAAAATGTGATGGACGAAAATATTATCAGTGTCGATCCTATCTAAACTCGGGCCTGAGTAGAACTTCATTCAAAATGGAACTATAGATTATAACATTTCGTAGTGTATTTTGTTTTGAAGTTAAAGATTAAACACCACGGACAATAACTATTTAAGTGAAATGCTTATACGTACTATTTTACTACGTGCTGATATAACAAATCTTTTAAAATAACTAATTTATTGGAATCATATACTACCTCCGTCCCGCTATAATTGTCCCGTTTTACCTTATCGGTCCGTCCCATTAAGATTGTCTCATACCAAATTTGGCAAAATTTGTGTGACTTTAAATCATTCTTACTTTATCAATTCAATATCAACCACATAAATCACTTTTTATTGATTTGCGTGCCACCCCCTCTTGTCCCATTGTTAGCGGGACGGAGGGAGTATATACTATCTATAAACTACGTAGTAATACGGATTATTAGTTAAACGAACATGGTAAATAATACATTATTATTGTCAGCAAATTCGAGAACATAATCTGTTTAAAATTTAAATATCTGTAAAAGGAAATTTTTTAAGACAAGAAAAAGGTTCCATTCTGCAAATCCAATTCAAATTCAGGTTATTCAGCCTAGACGTTTTGAAAGCTAAGGATCGGCTTTGTGGGGTGTGAAGCGTCGCAACAGACAAAGGTAAAATAAGAGCACCAATATTGAGCCCCAAATTTTAAATATTTTTTGGGCCCTCAGGCCTTTGCCTCATTCCCCTCTAAGAGAGCATGGCCCAGAATATTACTTAGTACTGTACGTAGTTATAGTTACTACGTAGTAACTATAATTGTGTCCAAAATTTATATCATACTATAACAACATCCAACAACAACAACATCCAAGCCTTAGTCAACGGGTTGGGGAGCAGTCGAAAGGATGTGGTTAATGAGAGTGATGCCCGAGTCCACCCATTTCTCGGTCCAAAAAATGCCCCCAACCCGTTACGGATGCCCTAACGCATACCACATTGAACTATGGGTAGAGCAGCGATAATGCCTCACGGCCCTCACCAAATAGCTGATTTAGCATATGTGTGACGCTGGCGGAACCCATAAATAGTCGAGATAGTGTCTCAATCAATTTAGAGTAACTTCCAATATCTTCAATATTTGGTAAATGAAACCTTCACTTTATAAAGTATTACCTCTGTCTCACTCAACTTTGCCAAGTTGCTGTTAGGTGGAAAATTAGAATAGTAAAATTTTTTGTGGTTGAGGTTTGTGCAGAGGAGAGAGAAATGGACAGAACCACAAAAACATTGCTTTAAAACGTTAATGCATCCAACTAGATTAATGGAGTTCTGTATAAAAAAATGAATACAAGAAGGTTTGATGCAAATCATGATTGGTTTTGAATTTAGTGTTTGGTTTTTGAGTTTCCGTGAAATTAGAATGAATTCCTTAATAAGAAAATGACGTTTCAGTCAAATAATAGCAATTTGATCCTTTTTAGCATTTAAAAGAAGTGAAAACGTTAGTTGATAAATATTTGTTTAGCCCTAACACTTTTGGATGAAATCTCTGAAATGGAAACACTGCAAATAGTAACGTTTTGGGTTAGCGTTCTCAAATATAGGTTATTTCCTACTAATTGCTATGGCCAAACACGTAAATTATCAAACTTCTTTTTGCAACCCTTCAATTTATTCCGCTAGTCGAACACGCTAACTGAATCTACTATTAACAACTCGCTAACATAATTCGCTTGATCCAAAAGGTGGAATCTCACACCCCAGGAGCCCCCCCACCCAACCCGACAGGATGGTGGGGAGGTTAATCACGGTGACTCAGTCAGCAAAGCGGCGGTAGGCCTTATACACGTGCGCACCAGAGGTCCAGCCTTATTTCAGGTTCTGTAACCTCCACACGGCCGCTGCGGATTTCGAACCTTGGTCACGTGATCCAATTTTCTCACCACTCGACCAACTGAACTACCCGTGCGGGTACTAACATAATTCGCTATCCCCTAACCACTAAATGCCAATACGCCCTAGTATGTGAAATATGTATACGATTTTTGTATTACATATAATTGTAGTATTCATTAATAAATTCAACAATTAAATAATGAGAAATTTACCCCACATATGATTAATTTCACTCATTAGCTATTTTTCACTCATAGATAGGTATTTTTCCCTAATTAGATATTTAGCTAGCTTATGTTTGATTTCGTATGAAATAGGATTGTAGAAGTAATATAACTAACGGTAAATTTGACTATTATATGTTTGATTTTATATTACTCCCTCCGTCCCATAAAATAGTTCCCGCATTGACTTGGATCGCAGTTTAAGAAAGTAAGAATAAAGTAGAAATGTATGGTTGTGGTTGAGTAAGAAAAAGGTAAATGAATGTGAGCCACACAAAACTTTCCTAAAAGGGAAATGAGAACTATTTTTTTGGGATGGCCCAAAAAGGAAATCGAGAACTATTTTGCCGGACGGAGGGAATACTTTTATATAGTTGTAGAATTCATTATATATGTTTGATGACATTAGCCTTATTATGAGCCTGTTTGGTAACACTCAGATTGACTGTTTCTGTTGAAATTTATGTAGTTTTGGCTGAAGTGGTAGATTGGCCGATTCTGCTGATTTATGAAAAATATATATTTAAAAATACTTTATAATAATAAAATAAAGAAAAATTGATATGAAATTTTGATAAAATAGCTAAAATGATCTTCTACAATAATTTCACCCAATGCAATCAGAAAAGTAACTCCAAAGTTACGTGTTTGATGAAAAAGTTGATTGATAAGGCTAATAAACCGAAAAACAGGATTACCTAACTGGCTCTATGTCTCTTATAATTCTATTATCAAAATTACGGTAGAATTGTTGTGATTTTTAGTCCTTCGATTATTATATCAATGATATTTTTGTACACGACTTTGATTTTTTCAACATTTGTACTTTTACTATTGTGTGAAAGATACTTTTGACACTCGTCGTTGAAAGTTTCCATTGTTAATCTTTCGACTTTCATAAAATGACGCTTTTGATCCTTCAACTACTATCATAGTAACACTTTCGGTCCTCCATTTATTGTGATGAAATGATAATGGAAGGACTAAAATATTTGACAATATTCAAGTAACTAAAGTGTGAAATTTCAAAGTCAAGGGCAAGTCTCACTCTCACAATATTCGAAGAACTAAAAATGCAAAAATCAAAGTCGAGTACAGAAAATGTCACCTTAAAAGACAAAGAGAGGCAAAAGCAAAAACTCAATAAACTCTTTGAAAGGTATAAACCTGTTAGTCTGACTTGGTGAATTGGGGTTGTAAATTCTGGCTAATACTATTAAAGGGTTTAGCCTGTTGAACAAAACGATTGAATTTAGATGGATAAAGGGTGAAAAAAAATATGAGAAAAAGAATGTTTCAAAAGGGGTTAATGAAAAGGGTTTTTATTTATTATATGCAGTTTGCTTTAAATTTGATAATTGTTTTACTGTTTTTCTTTAATTATGCATTTTATGCAACTGCTAAAATAACTGTCGTCTTCTTTAATTTTCTTGCATATCTTTTACTGTACTACGTATGTCATGTCATAGCTTAAAGAAGTGTGATTTACTAATTTTTATTAATACTTAGTATAAACCTATCGCCCTAAGTACTTAACTTTGCATTCCATCCAAACTGTGGTACTTGAAAAGTATACACTTTTATGAGCGCGTTTGGTAACACTATTTTCAACTTATCAACTATCAACTTATCAGCAGGTATGGTATGAGTGTATACTTTCAAGTGTAGAGGTCCATACTAATTACTAAAGCTAACTTTGTACATGAATGTCTAAGTATCGCAAGTGTAATTGTCTAGACCTTACAAATTCCGTGCCTAACAATCACTTCAAAGGACCATATCTATGACCGACTCGGCTTGTAACGGTGGTCATGTCCGACTTCCGAGGATGAGCTTCGAGCTCGTTCTTGGTTCATGGTGTAGCTGACCAGTTTGGCTGAGTCTATCAGATATAAAGAAGAGTCTGCAGATGTGCTTAACTTTGTGGAAGGGCAGTAAATAATATAGAAGCTGGTGTGCAGGTTTAAGATCTTATGGGTCTGAAATTGCTTGAAATTTTTCCTATTTGTGCCCACAGCAAGCTTCCTAGTGAAACCCCACCAGCCTTCACAACTTCTCCATTGCGCTTACTGCTAACTGTAGATAACTGATCTGAGGATTCGTAAACCACCACAGAGGTGCTTCCGATTTCTCGTCTAACTGACTCTAGTGTTTCTGCATTAACACTTTGCCCCGAAGCGTCTTTGACGTAGAAAGTGCCTATTGCGCTCTCACCTTGTGTCCCAATCTCAGCATTGGAGATGGATAATCCATTTTCTCGGAACACTCTTGACACGTCCGATAACAATCCCGTCCTGTTTTGAGTGCGTATATCCAGCCTCAATCCCTGCACAATTTATACAGATATCATATACTCAAGTACATTTTCAATCGTGAAAAATGCTAGGCGACAAACTAGGGCATTGGGTGAAGAATAGTTAGAAACTTTTCATCGTCCAATAAACTCTTAGAAATGTTTCTAAAATATGTAACAAATGATGTTACCATAGACTTGTTAGTCTATAAAAGAATGTGACAGTGTAACTTACATAAGAAGCTCTTCTTTCGGTGGCGGCTATCAAACATTGTGTAACTCTAATCCTCTCACTTTCCAAGTCCAAAGTGCAGCCATCCTCATGCCTTAAGTAATACTCCTAATGTATTGAAGACATTCAAGAGGTTAAGAGTAAGATAAAGCAAATTAAAGCAGAAAAGGTGTTAAGTAGGATTCTTCATATTACCTGAAGCGACATTGAATCCTGAGAGCTAATGGATGCGTGAGAAACAACATAGTGCATGTCCGTAAGGGCGCAAACGGTGTCAAACAGCAACTTCGGCCTGTCTTTACACCACACTGTTACTATACTGTACCCTCCTTTCTCTTTACAATTTTCTATCTTCACGCGGGTCCCACCACCGTTCCTGTGGCTACATTGCTCGTAGTCTCCATCAGCTGCCATTAGCTGGTGGAGCCGCCTCTCGGTATGCGTCCGGATCGCGCCGGGGTCCGACAACCTCACGCTCCGTCGTTCCCCGTTATAGTGATGGGCCTCAACAACATTCTCTAATTGGCCTTGGATTTGGGCCACGCGGTATGGGTCCCTGATCGGCCCACGCTTCATGTCTTCTTCTTCTTCTTCAACATAGAGTATGCAAGCTGCTCGAGAGTTGTGGGTCCAAGCCACGGCTGCGGTAATGTGGCATCCCATCTCAGCCAGCACGGCTGAGATTTCAGACATTAGCCCAGGCCTGTCTGTACCAGTCATTTCCAAAGCAGTTGTGTGTTCTGTGGACACATATCGAGGCCTAACGTCTCTACCTATGAAGGATTGGACCCCCCTCCTACTTTCACAAAGAGCCTGTTAACATAGTTTCCAATTAGTTTATCCACATGTCCCATTTGAGAAAGAAGTTGTATCTGGTGAAGATGTGATCCCACATCGGTTAAATATCAAATAACTAACGAGATAAAAAATTCAAGGTTACTCATTCAATCAGATTGATCTTACATGATAGAACCACAAATGTTGATATGATATCAAAATCAACCTGATTCACATGGTGTGGGTCCCATGAATACAGATTTAAGGTGAGGTGTGATAATCAGAATGAGTCTTTTTTTAAAAAGAAATAAATAAAATTGCACCGTCTCGCCGTGGTGTTTGGATGTGTTGAGAAATTATGGCCAAATATTTAATAACAAAGTCTATTCCTAAAGTATAAGACTTTAGGCTAGCTATTCCTAGTTGACATTTGGGATGAAATTTGAAGCCTTAAAAAGTCTTATGTTTATATTTTTTTAAAGACATAAAAATGGGTAAATCGAAGTGGATACAAACTTACCTGCTGGATGTAGTGGATGATACTTTCGTCCATTATTTTGTTTCCCACTTGATCAGTCACATGAAACACTGATGAGTGTTACACAGCACACAATTAGAACATTACTCGAATAAAATATTGAAAAAATCCATCTTTGAATTGATTGGCAATGTGACAGAGGGAATGGGGGGCTAACCATCCATTAACCAACCGCCGTCAGAACTGACATAAGATTTGGAGATGACCAAATCAAGATCTGTCAAAACTTGAACTATCTCCAGCAATATCCCATGCTTGTTGGCACTATCAACCTGTGATCAATACTGAGTAGATTAATAAGGTTTCTGTATCTATGGTTTTTTCAATCCATTATTCCATTTAAGGAGTATTTGCCATTTTTTTTACTTTAAAAAAGTTATTTGTAAGTGATGTTAGAGAAACTAATTAATAGTAAAAATTGATAGTGTTTGAGAAACAAGTGTTTCTTAAAAAATAAAAGTCCGTAATGTTGGATAAAAAATGTTTTTCGTATAATAGAAAAAGTAAAAAACGGTTTATAACAACTCTCCACCTACTTCCAGCTTTGAGCTTTTAATAGCTTAACTTAAACGAAAACATTCATTTCAACTTTTTTTTCTTCATTTTTATAAGCCAAAAGTTGAAAAAAACTTAATTAAGTTTTCGCAAACACCCATTTAAAACACCACACATAAAACCCATCTTATAAGAAATATAATGATTAGGGACTATGTATCAAGATTGAGACTCATGCTTTATCTCTTATATGTTGTTGAACTTGTTAAAATATATAATTGGAATTTCAAAACAGATTATTGTCCAGGCCTACAACTAGCATGAGGGATACTCAACACAACCTCAAGAATTTTCCAGCATAATTCATATGATCAATGAGAAGAGAACACAAAAACATGCGTATCTGTTTAAAGTTGACTACTTGACACATAATTATAATTAGAACAAGGAATTAAACTATCTAACCTTCACAAGTGTGCAGTCTGGGAATGCTTCATTATCAATGCAAATCCTGAAACCCGAACAGGACATCCAATACAGAAATAAATAAATAAATCGGAATAAAAGAAAATACTCCCTCCGTCCCGGTCATTTCTTCCAAGTTTCCTTGGCTCGCAATTTAGAATGTGGGAATAAAGTGGAAATGTATGGTCGTAATTGTGTAAAAAAAAGGTGAATGAACCACATATTTTTTCCAAAAAAGAAAGTTGGAAGAAAGGACCGGAACGGAGGGAGTATCATATTATTACGATGGAAAAAGATGATTCAAGCCAGAATTCGAATTCTTTATAAGAAAAATAAAAAAGAATTGAAGCAGAACCTGGGAGGATGAATTCTCTCAATAAGTAACTTGAATTCTGGATGAACATATGGCTGCCTATAGCATATCTCCATATCTTGAGAAGTTTAATCTATATTTTCATGCAAAAGATTGGGCAAAGATGTATGTCAAATACACCTTTTTATTGATTTGATTTGAATAAGCACAATAAACAGAGTAAATTAAAATAACTTTCGAGATTCCCAGATTATTTAATTTATTTCACGGAATCACGGAAAGGTAAGCAGAATCCTGTTTAACATTCTTCAACATGGAATGAAATTCAGCTTTCATAAGACGCATAATACATATTTAGAATCCTACCAAAGAGTTAAATTAGGAGATAATGATAAGAATCCTTAGTTTTTGGAAGCAGGAGTTTCACCTTTGGAGGAGATTAAAAAACAAAGACAGATGAGAGGAAGCAGAATGGATGAATTGATGAGCAGAGGGAAAAGAAGCTGGTTGCCAGATGTGTGTGAGAGAGAGGAGGTCTGATCGGGGGGTTGTGGATTTATGGGAGACAAACGAAATATATACATATACGTAAGTTAAGGGCTATGGCCGCCTCGGAGAGGATCTACGTAGGTGTGAGCGATCCCAAAGTCATTATGGAATTTTAGATTCTTTTTCTTTTGTTTAAATTATATAATACTCCCTTCATCCCGTTGGTATGGTCTCGCTTTACTTTTTTGGATGTCCCGTTGGAAAGTTCTCATTTCTCTAAATGGAAAGTTATCCTACATCAAAACAGGGTCAAACAGTGCAAAACAGTGTCAAACAGTGTCGAAACAGGGCCAACAGTGTCAAAACAGTGTCAAAACAGTAAAATTTACCCTCTGGTAAGTTTATTTCTTTAATATGTGTGTAGGTCAAACCGGGAACATTCCAACGGGACGGAGGGAGTACTTCTCTCAATTTTTTTTGTCACTTTTAAAATTTTGACCAACTATGCCAAGTACCTTCTGATCTAATTACATCACCGCTGATTTTCCAAAGAGAAGACCGCAAGTTCGAGTTTCATCTCAATCGAGCAAATATTATACTCCGTAATAGGTTTAAAAGATTTCCTCTAAAAAAACTTTGATTAATTATATCTTTTTATTATAAATTATTTATAATACAGAAATTATATGAAAATGTATTTTGTTAAAAGTACTTCATTAAAGTAAAAAATTTATAACTTCCATTATATTATACTAATCGAAATCATGATTCAAAATTTATGAAAGGACAAAGTCTTTTTGGGACATTGGTAGTCAGATATGTTTTTATTTATAACTAATTAATTATATTCTATCAATTCAGAATTTCCAGTTAGAGTTCAAGCCAATTAAGTCATTTTTTCAGCGTTACCAAACCGTCCAAACAAGTTAAATAAAAGAGATCGAAACTCATAATTTTCAATATTCGGTTATGAGTGATTTGAATAAGTAATCATGTGTACACAATCTTCATCCTCTTTTGATCTTCTCTTCTGAACTTCTTAATAACATATGTTTCAGAAAATAAAATTGTGTGGTTGAAATTTGTTTAAAGGGTTAAGATCTACAGAAATTTTGCACACTAAAGGAAGGGATGAAAGAATGAAGCGTGAGATTAATGATGTTTCCTTGAACTGGAATTTATTAATTTGATCTGATCTGTTTAAGTGCGGTATGTGACTGAAAACAATCCAAATAAAAAAGACTTAATAATTAGGTCTTATGAGATCTTAATTAAAAAAGAGACCAAATACAAAGTGTAGACATGCCTAAGAAATTATAGTACTATCTGTCTCTCTGTTTTACTTTACTCATTATGGCCATTATTTAGTTTTTGTTGTTGAAGGATGTCCATTATTTAGTTAATCACTTGATTTTCACGGACTCTAAATATTGGAGTCCATAACAGAAGCGTCAGTACAATTAAATATGGAGTACATATATTAATCTCATTATCTATAAATCATTTTCCATATTTATATAAATTGTTATCATCTCATCATAAAAAAATACTATTCAGTTTAAAACTACATACTCCGTATTTTTTTTCCTGAACAAATTGTAATCATACAGTTCGCATGCATTATAATAATAGTACGGAGTATTATTGAATAAACGAATTAATTCCACTTTTGATCCTATGAATTTTATGTCAATTCCACATTTAGTTCACGTCTTTCACTTTGTCCACATTTTGTACTTGAATAATGTTTATTAACCATTTGTGCTCCTTTTCCGACGATTTTAACCATCAGAAATATTGATGGAAGGATCATATATGGACGAAAACACAATACTCAAGTATAAAAATGGTCAAAATTAAAGATGTGGAACAATTGTGAAACCGATGTGATACTCATTGGACCATTTTAACCATCAGAATTAATTCTTGAATAAACTCTCAATGTCAAAGTCAAAGTAGAAAGTTTTTAGGGAATGGAGTAATATTCATGGTATACGGCATATGGTGTTGTTTTATCTTTCCTCTTTAGAAATTGCAATGAACTGATAGCTAGGCTATGGAATTGTAGCAGCGAAAACATGTGCGTTAATGATGAGCGCAAGAAATGTTGGGAGGGAGTGAATTGTGGAAGCCCCCAAGTTAAACATGGCAAAAAGCCAAAAAAGGAAATCAAACCAAAACATTGCAAACGTTGAGCCGTGGATAGCGCTGCGCCATTTTTATTATCATTCCGATTTTTATTGACTTGTGGCCACACGGTGTGAGTGGTTAATAATGGATTATATTAGCAGATTATTAATAATGGATTCGGTGAATGAGTTTGACTAACAAAATAAGTTGGTGAAAGATAAAGATCTGATTGTTTTTTGGCGGATTCAGAGCAATCCGCTGCAAATTGCAACGTTTTCATTTGTAAAAAACGGAGGATTGATGCCAATCCGCTATTAACCAAAATGGTATGGAGTGCATCAATTAGTATGAAATGGTCTATTTCAAAACGTTAACCTAAAACTCTGCTATTTGCAGCATTTTCATTTCAACGCTTCTATCTAAAAAGGCTAAGGCTGAACATCTATTTACCAAAGAATTTTTTCGATTATTGATAATGCTAAACAGGTCAATCCACTATTTTGACTGAAACGTCGTTTTTCAAACACCCACTTTGTTTTGTCTGTCCCATAAAATTTGACTAAGCTTGACTTGTATATAGAATAATAAAGTAAAAATTATCTGATTGAAATTTGTTCAGAGGAGAGAGAAATAACTTTAAATATATATTTACTACTTTAACAATGGAAATGACACAATATTTTGGTACGACTAGATATAGAAAATTGGAAAAAAATTGGGACAAAAATGTTAAAGTAAGAATATTTTGACTTGGATGCGTCTAAATCTCGGACCAGAATATATAAAATTTAAAAATAATAGACTAGCAGACCTAATTTCGAGAGTTATAAAATATACTCCCCCATCCTTTTAAATTTTGTCAACTTTTTTTTGTCCCAATAACTTTGCCACTTTCCCTTTTAATTAATGAATTTGTGATTCCCGTTAATGTTGGAAAAATGTGTTAATAATTGCATTAAATGATCAATTTGGGACAATATTTTGAGTGGATCCCACTTCTGATTTGGGTCGGCTCAAAGTGGTTTCGGATTATCCTTGTTAAGGGCTACAATTCGATATATGGTACACTCAAAACGGATAAAGGGTGAATGAGAAATTGATTCTCGAAGTTCACTCGTTGAAACGGAAAAACTGGGAAAATGGATGGATTTCTAGTGTGATTTATCCCACACCGGAAAACCCAAGGGATTTTCACCCCTTTATAAAGGGAACTCTCTTTGAAGGAGTTAAGATTCCTACGGGGAAAGGCTCTCTTCGCGCGCAGGGGGGTGCCGATCAAATCCAGAAAACGGAGAAGAAAAACCGTGACTCGTGTGCGCGGACGACTTGCGGACACGAATTTCATCCGAAAATCTATCTTCTAAATATAAGATTAATTTTTGGCTTGAGACACGAATGCGGACACGAAGATATGGGAGGGTTTCTGGTGGCTTCCGAACTAGAAGACCATGAGGTCTTTTGGTGGCTTCAGACTAGAACACCTCGAATGGTATTCTGGTCGCGCAACAGAACTGCTCCAGACAGTTTTTGACAAATTAATGCCCAACGTGGCTGGACATTTATGTGCAACGTTCAGGTCCATTAAAGCTCAGTTAACACACCACAAATCATCCTATAAATAGCTGGCAGGTGCTTTGCAACAAACACACGTTCACAAGCAATCTGCACGTAGTTTTTAACTCTAAAAACACTTCCAGCTACTCCAAAAATTTTCTGAGTGTTCTAGCTTGTTCCCGTTCTCCGGAACTTTCGTTTGTGTGCTCAAGCGTTAGTTCGTTAGCCACCGTATCCTGGTAAATGGTCGTTGCAACGCTCCTAGCAACGTGGGAGGCGACGAATACGTTTTAAGGATATCGTGCGTAGCACGAGCTCTGGCTAAAATCTGTTCCATCTATTTTCTGTTTTCTTTAGTCATTTTAATTAATTATTTTTTATTAAATATTTTCTTCGTTTTTCCGAGACACACCCTACAGTTAATTATCTCTCCTTTGGAAAAACTTCAGCCACACAGTTTTTAATTTATTAATTCTAGTGTCCGTCAAACTTGACTAAGTTTTAAGTGATTGAGAAATGGATTGTCGTCCTCGGTTTTCGTACTGTCTCCTCCTTGATCTGCCCAACCTTACTCCTTTTTGCTCTTTTTTTTGGGATCCAATTGTGCATTCTCTAATATCATGTACAATTCATTTTTATATTTCTAAATAGGATTACCATGTTTTATTTTCAAAAAAATAGGACTAATTAGTACTATGTTTTGGCATTACCAGACTTTAAACATGACACTATTTTCCAATTTTGACAGTTATTACTCCTATTTTGAGAATAAAAACATGACAATCAAATTTTGGAATTTTCAAACTTTTTACTCCTATTTGGAGAATTTTCTCATCCATTTTACCTGTCATAATATCAAAGCAAATTAGCAACCCGTTAATATAAATGCACTAAGCTAGTCGATCTTATTGATATATACGTACGGTAAACTTGAAATGTACATTTTTTGGCCTTAAGAGTTGGAATCTCAAAAATTGAGATTTTTGAATTGTGCACGAAAAATTGACCTCATAAAAATCAATTTGATTCACTTAATGGGATTTTTGTATACAGCCTGCCTAAGCTCTCTAGGTATTGTTTTTCTTAGAGTTCACATAGTGGGATTTTTGTGTTACTCAAAACTAAAATGAAGTGCCAATCATATTCGATAAATGAAATTGGCTAAATTTCCTAAATTATGAAAGAACTATATTTAAAAATAAAGAAATAATTATATAAATATAGTTTAAATGATCGTCTAAAATAATTTTCATCAAAAAAGTAACTTCGATCATATTGAAATAAAAAATTCTTATTTGGATTAAAAAAATGACATATAAGGCTCAAAAAATGAAAGTAAGAATTATCAAATGACTAAACATAGTAAACATGTAAATTTTGCAATAATAATATCACTGTTGTTCCGGTGGAACGGACAAAACGTACACACACCAAGATGAATGCTTTATGTCTTTGTAGTGTAAAACAAATGGGAACAGGGGCAAAAGAACCCCTCAAGTTGTCACCAAAGAGCATCTATCTTTAAAATCTCTTATTGGAGGCAATTGCACCCTTAAGTCACAGTACGTGAACTTAACGGAACTAGCGGCCGTCAAACTTGCTCGTTTGAGTTAATTTTATTTGTTTATTAACTAGTTTTTTAAATTGGTTGTAATACACGAAATAAAAAAAAAAACTATCAGTAAAGAATTACTCCATATTAGGTTAGAGCCCATTTGATATGGTAAAATAAAATTAGGATCCTTTAAAGCACTTTATATTTTAATATAAGTATTAGGAAATATAAATACGATACCAAACCCGTTTGGCACCATATTGTTCGGCTTATCAATCAATCTTTTTGTCAAACTGTTTTAAACCAACTATTTTACAACTTTTTAATAATTAAAGTAAGTGAGGTTGAAATTATTTTAAAGCCATCTATTTTAGCATTTTCATCTGACTTTTCTTTACAATACTTCACCCCCCTCCTAAAATTCAGATAAGAGGGAGTAGAGTGTTTATTGAGAAAATTGTGATTGTGTCACTAGTATTGAATTCATAAAAATGTGGATAAAATCAGAAATAATTATAATACACAAATATTCACAAATATGGTATGCGACAAATTTAATAGGGCAGACGGAAAATGTAACATGAGACAAGGATAGGAGACGTAGAGAATATTAATAAAAAATATGAGCTTTAATCAATTTGATAAATTTCAATACATTCAATATTGTGGTCAGAATTTTTAATTGTGGTGTAATTCAATAGATTCAATTAATTGAGTCACTTCGGTCAGAATTTGATAAATTTCAATACATTCAACCGATTAAATCAATTTCAGTGTTACCAAATGAGCTCTAATCATAGTATAAAGCAATTCGTTCTTAATTGTTAATAACTTTTTTTTACGGAGCAATAACTTTTTTTCTAATTACTAATAACTTTTTGTATAATTACTATTTCGTATCATAAACACTCAGATCAGGTCGGATCAAAAAATTCAGATTAGATCAGATCTTAAAAATTCAGATAAAAAACATTCAGATCAGACGAACAAAAAACTTCTTAGTGGCTTTTCTGGTTTACTTGTACTTTTAATCATTTTATTTATATTTTATACTCCGTATTATTCAACTAATTAACAAAATTAGTTATTAATAAATAAAATTAGAATATACAGTACTACGTACTATCTATTTTATTAAAAATCCAAACGAGCAACTTGAATAAGTTACCGTAAAAAATAAAGGGGGTGGTTGCCCTCTTTTTGGGAATTTTAAAGCTTTTTGCCCAAAAAAAGAAGTTTAAGGGTATAAGTGCTCTTTGCCTACAATATGAATGGTTTTTTTGCCCCTTTTTCCTAAAACAAATTGAAGATGCAGTTTTTGTTTTTAAGTTTTTGATTTCCGCTAAAAAATGTGACATGTTCAAGGGAGTATTTAACAAATGATACTCCCTCCGTCCCTTATAACTTTGCTAACTTTCCTTTTTTTTTGTCCCAAAAATTGTCACTTTCTTTTTAGTTAATCAATTTGTGATTCCTATTATTTCTCTCTCCTCTACACAAATCTTTACCGCAGTTTTTACTTTATTATTCTACGTGCCGATCAAACTTGACAATCCTCTTAAGGACGGAGAGAGTATAAAATTATCAGTAAAAATGTACAGTTTGTTATGAGGACAATAGGTACACGTTAATTTTCTGCAACGGGTAGGATTTGTAGAATTTGTAGACCGGTTTGAAACCAGTTACGGAGTATGAATTAACAAGGCAGTGGCAAGATTTGCGAAACATGCAGGCATCTACTTGGGGACATCCATACTCTAATTTGTTGCATCATACAGAGTAATATAATAATAATTATTATAATTATAATAATAATAATAACAACACTAGCAATAATGATAATAATAATATGTGAAATATTAAGAGCGAATGAGAATAAAAGATTAAAAGGTGTGAACAACGACAGTAACTGTTAATAAGATAGAAAGGTAAATGTGATATAAAAAGCTTCATGCAGTGGAGATGACGAGATTGTTGTTTCTAGGAATTCTCTGTTTGTTTATTTCCACATTGAGTGCATGTGTAGAAGATAGTTTGGCCTTCATCAGCAGACCTTATCTACATAAAGGAGAAAACCCAAAGATATACTGTCAGTTTAGATGGAAAGGGCACATGTTCTCAGACAAAAGAAAAAACAAGTGATTGTAATGAGACATGGAATATATTGGATATCAATACTGAATTCTACACAACCTGTCTAGCAACATATGCCATCCCCATGTATTGACATACTTTGCATTTTGCATTATAATCCTGTAAACACAATAATGATTGTTATATAAGAGAAAAACCCTTGAATAAAGAAAGAAACAAACCATCTATTCAAAACTTAAAGATTTTTGTATTCCAGTAAGCTTACCATCTGTTTCAATTCCTTCTCTTCTTCAAAATCATCGAATGAAGAAGATATGCCGAACTCCCTTCTAATAGCCTATGAAAGTTGGAGAATGCCATAAAAAGCTTGTTCAGCCACCGATAATTTAATTCAAAAAAGAGCGTCAAATTACTTTGTTACATTTCATCTGATGGATTGCAGTATACTTTGTATTGAATAAGAAGACCATAACAGGCCTCTCAAGTCAATTGTCGAATTATTCTACACGTTACTTTTCATCTTTAATATGCATCTCTAAGTCATAACAGGCCTCTCAAATGATTGGTTATAGTACGAGATGGAGGCATACCTCGGCAGAAATTGTATAGCTTATCTCTTTTCCGATGATATCTAGAATAGGGAAAAAGAAAACGCTAATATTTCATCCATATTAAACAAAAACGAAGGAGATATGTAAGCAGATTGAATTCTTTTTTGAAAAAGAGAGAGGTGAACTAATGGGTTTTGGTTAAATGAAATGCTGCATTATTTTGAATCCCAAATTTAACAGATCAAAAAACTTCTAGCACGCTCTAACGACTAAGAATGTCCATCAGAAATACAAAAAAAATGACCAAAACTTGTGTGCGAAAGTCTTACAAATAGAAGGGAAATTTAATATTCTGTACTTGAGAAGTAAAAGCTAAAAAGTACAGAGTTGTGCATTTTAAAAAAATAACTGTTTTTTAAGCATTACTCCGTACTCTTTCCTTTTAAAGTATTACACGTCGACGCGTCTCACAAGAGCCCAACTAGCCAAGCAAACAATATGTTTTGATAAAAATGCTTTTGATTCAATAATCCATAGGAAACTTAGAACAGATTACTGTCAACCATCCATATATGATATACCCTTCAGAAAACAAAACCATAGAGCTCCAATCCTATTTGTACTTGGGTTAGGGAAAAGCAAACACAATTATCAACATCAATAGTAACAAAGTAACAAGCACCAAAACAGGTAAAACTGTAAAAACTGAAAGCCTGCCTACAAAATAATGCCAACTTTCAATTATAAATTGCCCCATCAGATTTTGATATGGGCATGTCTAACTGCCAATCCTGTTTGTACTTGGGTTAGGGACAGCTATTGATTATTTATGTATTACTCCCTCCGTCCCAAAATTATTGTCCCGTTTGGTTTTTCACACAGATTAAGAAAATGGCACTGTAGTGACACTGTTTGGCACTGTAGCGACACTGTTTGGCACTGTTTGACACTGTTTGGTATAGATTTGTTTACCAAATAAGGAAGTTTTAGAAACGGGACAATTATTTCGGGACGGACCTAAAAGGAAAGCGGGACAATAATTTTGGGACAGAGGGAGTATTATTAGTAGTAGTTCCATATCGGTAAGTATTAATATTTGAATTACTTTCCTATTAGTAGTGTATAACACTGTACTCTATTTTAGTTAATTTTCCTATAAGAATGTCTTCCCTCTGTCCCAATTTGTTTGGGACATGGGTTGTTGCACACAAATTAAGGAACTCTAGGTTTGTGGGGTTTGTGTTTAATTTGTAGTGTGACAGACTTAAAACACATAGATATGATTGAATATGGAATGGGACAAATACTTTGGGAGGGACCAATATGGAAAAACGTGACAAACATGTAAGGACTATACTTGCTCACCGAGATTTGTGAGTAGTATAAATAGAGGTTCTAACGTTGTTAATAGTTTCATATTACTCGAAGCTTTAATCATCAGGTTTAATAAGGCAAAGTCTCTAGGGTTTCTTTCCTGTAGGCTCTCTCCAGGAGGATTTGACCTATTCAGGTGTGTTTAGCAAGTAAATGCATGTTTGAAATCAAATCTATTTCAGCACCATATTCCATGGCATACACAAAGTGATTAAAAATTATTTGCAGATTGCTGAAAACAAATAACATAATGATTAATGTAAAAAAATAGTGGACACAATACTTCAATTATAAGGTAGGAATGACTAAATACATTTCTTCGATCACGCATATAAACAAGTATATAAGCTGATAAAAGAAGTTGCAAACCTTTATGAAATGTGTAACACCTACGGACCTATGGACAAGTTGCAAAAAAAGTAGAGTACAAGAGTAAAAAGATCAAGTGGAGTAAAAGGAAAAAAGTAAATAAGAACTAAACATGGTTAAAAAAAGGGTTACATGGTGGGTTTCAAGGCGTGCCTCACTGTGAGGCGTACAAGAAGGGCTCAACGTTAGTTTTTTTTGGACAAGAGGTTTACGCCTCTAAAGTCAAGGCGTACGCCCTGAGGCACTCACTCTTTGAGGCACTTTTCTGAGGCAGTTTTCCTTTGTTTTCTAGCATTTGAAGGTGGTTGTAACTTAAAAGGGCCCAGTGTTTTTTATTTAATTAAGGCCCATACATTAAACATGTGTCCACATTCCACACTAAACCCTAACTAGCCTTTTTAACCTTCGAACTAACCTTTCATGTTAACCCTGTTTTTGCAAGCTGGGCAATGTGCATACTTGATTGAATCCAAGGAGAGGAAAGCTCCACACTCACAGAACATGAAATCGCGTTGATGAGAGTAAACTGACATTGCTGGCATTAAATAAATCAAGATAGATTAGAGATTTAGAGATAATGTAAAATTAACAGTTTTAATATGGATTTCGTCCACAAGCTAATTTGCATGCTATAAAGTAGAAACTAGATCATGAGCTAGCACACATCATCATTTTCATGTCTTGGGGGAGAACCAAAGACAAATAAGTCTTAACAAAACAAGTCTCATATGTCTTAACAGAACAAGACTTCTTGAACACAAGCATTTCAATCCAGTGGGGTCAACATTTAATATTAACAAATTTGCAACATTGTGATTTTTGCACAATTCACATATCTTAATTTGATTATGATTTTCACTAATATAGAGCAAATTATTATGTATAAAATGTTATTAAATTTCTATTAATGCAATTTTTTCAAAATATTAACTTTTTGTCATATTTACTAATACGTAATTAGATATAATCACAGTCAAAGTTGTGTGTTAACAAACGGGAAAGTCAAACCGTTGCAACTATTAAAGAACGGAGGAAAGTATAAAAATATAAAATAACATTAATTGCAAAAAAAAGTAAAATACAAAAATAAATATCACCAGTGTTTTACATGAATAAGAGTTTTCATCAAAGAAATGTGAAGTCCACATCACACATTTATAATTGTTCTCTAACGAGTGTCATAGACTTATATGGCTTGATATTGACATCATTGTAATTTTTCAAGAAGATGTCTGTTTTCTTCACTAGGTTAAAATATTTCTGAGAACCTATCTTCCTTAGCTTTTTCAAATTCTACAACATTTCAGCACATCATATGATTGATAAGTTAGATAATACTAACAGAGTCCTCACGAGTATATTTAAATCAGTAGAATGAAATTAATATACTGGGAGAATGATAATCACAAATCACATTGATACTAAGTAACTAATGAGATTATGAGATTAATAATAAACAACGGAATTAATATATGCAAAATACCAACAATTAAAAAATAATAAATCTAAAACGAAATATAAACCAACTACTGAAATCATTATACTAGTAAATCACCGTAAAAAATTAAGTAAAAATTAAAGGTGAATTGAAGTATATAGATAATACTTAAACCCAGAGACTACAATCATTACATTACTAAATTTAAAATACACACTAAAACTAAACCAAAAATCAAAACTTACGGAGTAATGTAGCAGCTGACAGACAATGAGAAGGGGCGCCGAACTGAAGTCTGAGACCTAAAAAGTTTTAAAAATTGGAGTTGCCGAACAAAACCTCCTGAATTGAAATTTGAGACCTAGCTACGGACGGTTAGCAGGGGGGCTGCGGAACAGAGGGAAGCGGAAAGTGCGCCAGGCGAGGATTACGCAGTTGACGACGATGGACGGGCGGAAAGATGGACCGACGGTGACCGAAAAGGCTGAAGTCTGAAGACGACGGTGAGGATGATTGGATGAGTGAATGACTGAAGACCGAGCGTTCGTTACTGATTAAATATTGGGCCAGTCCAGAGGCCCAATATATTTTTTTTGAAAGAAAACCAGAGGCCCAATATTATAAATATGAAACCCGCCCAAACTTTAATCAGGACCGAATGCCAATAAAGTACTTCATTCTCTTATACTCCGTATATCGGCATGAGATATCCAATTTGGTCTTGATGCAATAATACACTCCGATAATAGGATGTTTCTTTTATATTTTTGGATTATCAATTTCATGGTCATTTCTATCAAATACTCTCTCCGTTCTTTTTTAGTTGTAACGATCAACATTTCACATTTGCCAAACGTACGTCTTTGACCGTAATTATATCTTAATTCTATTAGTAAAAAAATATTAAAAATCAGATTTTGAATATTTGTAATGAGATGAATTGAACAATATTTTTTAAAAAAAATAATTTTCATAAAATAATAGCGTAAAATGTAGTCAAAGTAGAACATGTGAATAGTGTAAAATTTAACATGTTGCGATTACAACGGAATGGAGGATAGTATATCTTTTGTTTTCACGCGCTAAATTATGTTATAATAATTAAAATAATAAAATATAGACTTCATTTACTAATTGAAATGACCGAATTTGTTGAGGAAGACTATTTTACCTAGTTCTTCATATTTTTAATTTTATTAATAAAATATCATTTATACATATATTTTCCTCGATTCAGCATATTCAGACAACTATGTCATTTTTTAAAAATTTCAATAGATTTGGTCGATTTAACTAGTTTTAAAGTTAAAGAATGTTTGCGGTTTCTTCTATTAAAAATGATTTCAATAGAAGTATTGTGTGGTAAATGTTGACAGTTTTCGAAAAAAAAAATTAAATATGTAAATATTGATAGTGTTTAATAAAAAAATACCTTTTGTCTAATACACAATAAAAAGGTGATAAACAATTTAACTATAAATTATGAAATGTTTAATTTATTTTAAGTAAACACCAGTGTTTTTCCCTGAATAATGCTAACTAAATAAATAATTTCTAAAATACTACTGGGTTAAAAATAACTCCCAAAATACTGTTGGAATTAACCGCGGATAAGCAAACTCGCCACTCAAAGTGACGGCTCTTCCATACAGTACAAAATTCGTCACTCCAAGTGTGTAGTAAATTCCACAACAGCTTATTCAACCGAAAAAACAAAAACATGTTCAGTACATTACAGTCAACTCAGAAACATCAAACAACTACTCTTTATAGTCAATTTAGGTTGCTAAAAAACAAAATATATCCGAAACACATAACGAATCAATGGATTTAACAGGTATGCTCGGACATTGCTGGACTGTATGCTGATGTATTGGGCGAGTAGACCATGGATATGTTGCTGCCTCTCAGTATTGCACGGCATCCACATCCATAACAGGATCATCCTAGGCATGCACTACGACGTGATAGAGTGGTTCTTCAGTCTTGTAACCAGCACAGACGCCGCCCCCAACCTCAGGCACACGCACATCCACGTGAGTTTTATGATGATGATCAAGTTGACTTTTCATATTTGTACTTTAGATTATTCTGTGAAACATGAACTAGCTGATCGAATTATTTTCTGAAACACTAGGAGCCCGTTTGGTGACCCCTTTTTTGACTTTTCAGAAAAATCTTTTTCACCAAACACATAATTTTTGGTTTCGCGCGCTGAATTATGTAATGAGCAGAAATAGTGAGGTTGAGTTACTTTTCTGGCTATATTGGCTGAAGTTACTGTAGAAGATCATTTTAGCTATTTTTCATATAATTTTTTATTTTATTTATTAATAACAAATATTTTAAATATAATTTTTTTATGAATCAGCAAAATCAGCCAATACAGCAACTTCATCCGGAACTTCATAAATTTCAGCAGTATCAACCAATTCAGCCAATTTTAGTGTTACCAAACGGGCTCTAGATTTATAATCAACTTTATGTGATATTTCTAGAATGGTGGTCCAATGTAGTTCCATTGATTCATTGTGCATCTCAGATATATTTTGTTTTTTAAAGACCTATATTGAGTATAAAGAGCAGTTGTTTGATGTTTCTGAGTTGACTGAATTGTACTGAGTAGGTTTTGTATTTTTTTCGGTTGAATAAGATGTTTTGTAATTTCTTCTCAGAAGAGCCACCACTTGGAGTGGCGGTTTTTGTACTGTATAGAAGAGCCGCCACTTCAAGTGGCGTCTTTTGTACTGGACAGAACAACCACCATTTCAAGTGGTGGCTTTCCTTAACCGCGGTTAATTCCAACAGTATTTTGGGAATTATTTTTAATCCAACACTATTTTGGGAATTATTTATTTAATTAGCATTACTCCGGGAATCTATCTAATACTCCCTCCATCCCAATTTGTAAGATATTTTACGGTTTACGATGTTTGACCGACAATAAAGCAAACGGATCCCTGCCCGCACTCAAAATATTTTTTTTTAAAAATACATATTCAGAAAATGCATTGGAAACTTTATAAAGTCGCAAAAACAAGAATCAAATTTGATAAAAATCTGATATATAAAGTAAGAGATTAAGAATGATTTGTGTTGACCAAGTGAATAGGAAATGTATCTTACAAATTGGGACTGAGGGAGTATATAAAAGAAAAACATTTTTTTACTGTTCATTCTACAATGTTCCTGATATTGTTATATTTTTATTATCTATAGTTTCATTTTTAATTAGTTTTATTGTTTGTTGTTGTAGAAATTACACACTTTTGGTATGATTACTTTATTTTTCTAGATAGTTGTAATTTGTTTAAATTAGGATTATTCTAAGTTTAAAAGAGGTCAAGATCATTCAAAGGATCAAGATTGGACCCCAACAGATCAAGAAAAGTGCAAATGGACAAGATAAAAAGAAGATTGAAAAAATATTTCATATACCCATTCGGGTATTGAGTTGATTCGGGTGTCAAAATCAGAATCCGGAGAGACAAAAAAATGTGCAGGGTTTTGAAGATTTGGCTCATACCCGACTAGGTATGCCAAGATACCCGATCGGGTATATCCAGAAAAGTGACTTTCCAAGAAACTGCCTAAAATACCCGATTGAGTACCTTTTATACCCGATCGGGTACACAACCCTGCCACCTCCAAACACCTATAAATACACCTCTTTTCCTTCACAATAAAATCACCAGGTCCTATACACTTCTAAGCTCAGTTTGTTTAAGTACTTTCTTTATAATTTTATCATGTTTAGTCTCCAAATGAGAAGTTAAACTCTTCCGTCTTGATTTTGCTACTTTGAAGTTTAATTAATTGTAAGTTGTGAGTTATTTTCTTTAATCTTCTTCCTTGAATATTGATTAAATCAATAAACCACTTGTATTGAGGTTATCAATCTCAATCGTTTTCATCTTAAGTTTATTGCTACTATCGGGTTAATATACGGCGCGTGTTCTATATTGACTCACTAGAATGTTTTATTAATGAACACGTCTCTTTATTAATAACTACCCTCAATGAAATGGAGATACTCCTCGATTGAGTATTCGAGAGGAAGATAGTTAAAGATATAATCAAGATCAACGAGCATTTCATTAAGTGGATAAAAGCAAAATCAAGTCTTTACCTTTATTTTACTAAAACCACATAAGTCATTCATCTTAGTGTTAAATTAATTAAAACAAATCAATCTTAAAACCCCTCTTGTTACTATTTACAAAAAAGATAAATATTCCTTCCCCTGTGGATACGAACTTTACTTCGTTATACTACATATAATCGTTGTATTGATTTATTATTTTGACGCACATCACGACAAAGTGCTCGTTAGTTCCCGCCCAAACATATTAACATATCTCAGTCGTCCATTCACAGTCTATGTCTTCGGCTGTCGATCACTCCCCCGATTGGTCACCATTTTGCCTTCATCCATTGAGATGAATTTCACTGATGGCCTCCGTGTCAGATAAATTTTAGCCAGGCGGCCAGACCTCCATTTCTCCCACCTATCTTTGCACTTCATTGAGTTCATTCCTCCCTCCTTCATATAATTTCATCTTTCTGGATTTGTCTCGACAAAATCATTTGTCACGATACAAGTTCAACCATGGTAACATCTTACATTTCATCTCAGGTATTCTCACTCTGTTTCCAATTTGTGATTTGAGCTTATTATTTCTCGACCCTCTTCATTACTCACTTGATTTTAATTGATTATAAATGAATTGCGGTTATACCACTAGAACTCTAATGCTAAGCGTATTCGCAAATTCGTTTGACTTCTGGCTGGAAGGACTTTAGGATTGCGATTGAGAATACATAGTTGTTTGGCAGTGAAAGATTGAGTTCCGTTCCTTTCTCATTCCCATTTCAAATTTTATGTGTATTTTGGTTCAATCTTAAATTCAATTTTTCTCTACATTGCATTTCAATTCCATTCTTTAATTTTAAGAATATGAATTGGAGCTCATGTCAACAAATTCAGTCATTTTTCATTTCCGCAGCTCATGGGCATCCTTTTAACCGTGGTACAGGAGCTAAGGCCGTCAAAACAAAATAAGCAAAGCTTTTCTAGAGAGTCACATAAAAAGATGGAGTAATCTACCGGAAACACTAACAACCAAAATGTTTTATAGTTTTCTTGATTGCATATTAGTAGGAAACCAAATATACAAAAAATGCAATGCATTGGAATTTGAAGAAGAAAATAAAAAAATGCTATGTAAAAAACATACCCATAAGAATTTAGGGATTCAAAATGAAATTAAAAGTAAAGAAAAAGGGTTAGTAAACAAATTCGAAAAAGAATAAACTAAATTTAGTCTTACAATAAAGAACCATAGTACAATATTACTTTTAAAAATTTTGATTTAGATTAGCATACAAACGAAGTATTCAGCAATAGGAAATTGTGAATTAGAATTGAGTAAAGAAAATTGAGTTTCGGAAAGAATGTAAAGTGACGCATATGTCTTATATTGTAATTTGGTTTGTTTTTGTTCCATGAGTAAGAATTGATCGGTTAGTGTTACAACAATC